ATTGAAAATAATGATTAGTGAGCAAAAAAAGCATTAGTGGCGGGTTGCCTAAAATAGCCGCAAATACATTTATTTAAATTAAGTGACATCCATTTATTGAAGTAAATTATATCCATACGTTCTATTATAAATTTTACGTTTTTCTGAAAGGAAATAATGTGAAAAAGTAAAAAATCAATGGTTGCAAGCTCTTAATCAGCCGCAATGTTCGGGTTGCCAGGTGGGATTACAGGTTCCTACTGTTGATTATTTACACCCATATATTTTTCGTCAATATTTACCCAAATTGAAGGTTCATATTTGCTATACATGGCAAGTACTTAATCCTTATATTCTCTATCATTTTATATGTACCGGCTTCCCGGCGGAATGATTGATCCAAATTTGGTGGGCCCGAGAACATCATGCTTTTATAAATATAATATTTTACGAGATAAAACGCGCCTTAAATAAATTAAGGGCGCTTTATAAAGAAGGTTCTTTATCCCGTTACACTCTCAAGTTAGATTTACAGTAAAGTTTCAACAATGTCTCAAATCCAAGTGATCTCGGGTGGCACCATCGGTACTTAAGGATATTTAATAGATATAATTTTGTGTTTAAAGCATGTAACTGCTCTATGTTTAAATCTAAAGAAAATATTTGGTACTAGAAAAAATTCCCCGCGGACCAGGCAACAGACGGGACTCGAACCCGCACCCTTCGCTATCCGGGCGAATGCACTGACCATTATGCTACGGCGGCTGTGATGGTCGTGTCGAATTATTTCTAGCCTTTCTTAAGCTGCAAGGCAGCGCCTAGATTTAGATATATCTTCGTATCAATGCTATTGCGAAAATCTCTGGCACCGCGTCGCAAGTCTGCATTTATCGCACAATTTCTTTGTTTCCCATGTCAATTGTTGCAATTACCACGCTCTATTGGAGCATGGGTAGTGAATCTTTTGTTTATGCTTGGCAACCGTAGCGTTTGCCAATCAAAGAGTTGCACTAAGTGCAGGGAGATTACGGCTAGTTCTTCATAGTAAGTGACTTATCCGGCTATTTAGGTTTTCACGATTTTCTAAACACAAGGTTCAGTAAAATACGAAGTAAACCTATCCGCTTTTAAGTGTTAATAGATTATAAAAGAGGTGGGACCACTTGAATTGGAGCACACTTTTCGGGAAGTAACCTGCAGTGCAATAATAGAAGGCAATAGAAGATCACAATTTGTTTGGTGTCTGCTTTTGTTGGTGATTTATTTTTTAATGCTCCACAGTGTAGGCCGCCATTTTTTTAATTTTATAAGGACGGCAAACTAGCGTATGGCCCGCCTAATGGTAAGCGGCCATCATAGCGACGAGCTCCGTGGCCGAATTGTTTGTATGCCGGGTTTCAAGGTGTCGCCTACTCGAGAGGTCCCGGGTTCGAAACCCGATGGGGCCGATGTTTGTGAGAATATATCACACAAACATATGCTCCCACCGGAATTCGAGCATTTGGAGTACAAATGTGTCATGAATGTGTAATATGTATTTCTATATAAATATACTTATGACGACCTCCTTGAAATGCCCCCGGTGGGGGCAGATATGTGTGTGATGAACACGAACATTTGTACTCCAGTCATGGATGTGTAATATGTATTTTTATATATTTAGTACCTTATATTATCAGCTACTTTTTTTTATCAGAATAGTGAAATCGGTCCCAATATTCATCTTAAATACACATGCTCGATGAGAAGCTCGATGGCGCAAGTGGTTAGCGCGTTCGGCTGCGATCGTTGAAGTTAAGTAACTTTCGCAGTGGTCGGTCATTGGATGGGTGACCAAAAATTTACTATCTCCCTCCTCCTCTCCCACGTGCTTCGGAAGGCACGTTAAGCCGTTGGTCCCGGCTGCATCCGCAGTTGTTAGCGCCCGCCAATCCGCACTGTGCCCGCGTGGTGGGTCATGGCCCAATCTCCCTATTCCATTCATAGAGAAGGCCTGTGCCCCAGCAGTGGGGACATTAATAGGCTGTTGATGATGATGACACATGAAATAATTTTCTTATTCATTCTATTAAATAGCCTGTTATCTTGTTTTATATTCTTTCCTTCTCGCCATAAACTAGCATGTAGGTATCTATCATTTCAAATTATATAGAAACAGAAACCAAATCCACACCCATGATTTGATGCCTAGATACAGTTAAACACTATGTTCAAGCATCATTAAATCTGGAAACATTTTAACAGGCAATTTAGCTCGATCATTATCTCTGTTCAAGGATAATCAAAATTAAGTAGTTAATTCGTATTTGCAGCCAAGGTGAATATAATAAGAAGTAGTGAATATTGTTGTATGCATAAATAAAATCTTTCAAAATAAAATTAACCGTAAACTTACACCAAACAGTTATATCAAATCCTGATTGCCAGTCTAAAATGTTGACTAAAAATATGAATTGAGATCTTAATGTGTCTTACGAAGCACTGTGAACCTCGAGATTATACTTTTGTTACCCATAATTTTACCGGTCACTGCGAAAGTTGCTTAACTTCAACGCAATGTCCATGCAAGCTCCAGAGGGTCTGGAATTACCATAACAAATAAAGTTATTTTTTATTTTAAAAGCAGAACAAATATATGGGCCACCTGATATTAAGCAGTTTATAACTGCTGTACTATGCGATTCAAATAAGAATAGGAGAGCCAATGACCTCTATCTGTCTAATGTCGCTTGAAAAGTACGGTTTGCAAAAAAATCTTAGAACACTTTTTTAGCACTGAGCTAATTAGCTAATCTTAGAATAAAAACCAAACATTTGTAAACAAAAGAAGGAAATAAATCATGTGTGAACGTAAAGAAAAAGAGTACTAGAAAAGGGAAATATAAGAACTTCAGTCTTATTATAAATACAGGTAATAAAAATACCGTTATTATTTTAAATAAAGTTGTCGTTTTAAAACCTACAATAACCGATATTTTATTTTATAGCCGAAAGCAGCAGTGATGATGATGACTACTCCGACGGTAGTGCAGAGATGACCGATATTAAAGAGCTAGATTCCGATTAATGTTTACTCTCACTTTGCCTTAATAAATAAATATTATTAAAAATGATGTTTTTATTTCTCTCAATATTAGTAAAAAAATGTTATTTGAAAATCTGATATGTTTTTTCTCACTTCATCTTGGTAAATAACTTTTATTAAAGAAAAGCTTTTTTGCTCACTCTACCTAACCAGGTTGAATTGACAGCTATGACATCACAATATGGCTCCCAGCCGGTCCTATTTTTAGTTGAATCGCTCGGTACCAGCAATCTTCGTGTTTAGACTTTCTCACTCACATCACATAACATCAGGTGGGGTAGAGTCATTTGCTTACCTGGCTATAAAGAAAAAAGCGGCTACCTTAGCCTATAGACGCTTGCGATGCAAAAAAGTATCGCTCACGCCGTTGCCTACCCTGGCCCAATCCCTTACCCCGTGGAGCCCTCGGGGCCAAACGGAAATGCTTTAGAAAATGCTAACGCTTACGATTTCTTTTTGTTATTTCTAGCCGCATGAGGTTTTCAAATGACTCGCGCTCTTTTTTTTTCTTTTGCTTTGGTAATAACAATATTAAAAAAAATGAGGACGATGTATTTGAAAACCTTCGACGGTCAGAAATAACAAAATAAAATCGGATGCGTTAGCGTTTTCCAAAGCATTTCTGTTAGGCGAAAGGCCCCTGGAACCTTATTCACCAACAGCAACACAAAACCATCAAAAGTAATGTTATTTTACTGTAGCCTTTGGTTGGATGGAGGTTACTTCCCCAGACGGGCGCTCCAATTCTAGCGGGGAAAACTGCTATGCCCTGCCTCTCTTAAATGATTCCCAGTCAGGCTACCACCAATCGAGGGGCTCAACAGTACCATGTCATCGGCATAACCAATGTTATTGACACATAACATAACCCATCTTTATAGGAAGGAGCCCACATGTGTACTACTTAGCTTCTCAATGAGCTGATTCACAGACAAGTTAAATAACCTAGGTGAAGCTTCACCTTCCCTCCTTACCCTACACTAGCGAATATTCATAAGTGTTTGTAAGTTTAAGATATCACCCCAACGCCAATACATTTAATTGTAATTACGAAATACCTACTATCTACATAATATAAATGATAATTCTCTTTACCTCAGTTGTATAGGTATATTATATGGTGCACACAGCGTAACCATTCCAATATCTTATTCAAAACGATAAGTTAGTATGAAAAGCGACTCTGCTCCGCTTTGACATTTATTTGGTTAATGTCCACTTTTGTCTCCGAGAACGAACCCGGGTTTATGGGCGCTTGCTCTCGCAATGCCACTTATAATTTTAATGTCCCCACCCATCATTCATGCATAAACTTTAAATTCAAGATATAGGTACATGAAATATTACTCTTTTTACCGAGAGCGATCTGAATTCTATACGTAAGTATCGTTATCGTTTGTTTAATTAATGTTTATTTTGTTTTATTTAGTTTATATTATTTATATTGGTTATTTAATAACCTACTAAGATCATAGTTGAATAATTTAAAGAAAAACACACATTGGATACTTGATTGTTAATAATCGGCGAATTACATATCGTTTTGAGATTCCAAAAAATCAGGTCTAATATTTGTTATACACAGTCTTTAGCGTTGCGTTTAACAATATTTTCCTTTTCCATTGTACTTACGGATCAAATATCGATTGTTAAAACCAACGCGTGACCCACTAACAAAACAAGCTGAGGCATCGAGAACATTGTTTTCCCATAGCAGCCCATTCCATTCAGAATCTCATTACACTTCAAAAGGGGTACAACAGATCTGGCGCAACGCTGTTCTCATGGACGTGTCTGTCGTTAGGGCAGCGTGAGGTGACCATTACTACGTACAAAGAGTTGCCTAAAATAGAGAGCTTTTATGAGGCGGGAAGGCAGAGACGCGAGGCGGGGGCGGGGCGGCCGGCTGCAGCCCGCCGGCTCAGTCGCGCCGCGCCGCACAGACATCTCGCACGCCGCAGCTACGCGTGCCTATAAACGGCGCACGCGCACGCGAATCCCCGCCGCGTCCTTCCCGAACACGTGCTCCTAAGTGGTTCCATGATTACACCTGACCAACATGCAAGAACAAAGTTCGTCGCGTTCGAGTAAATCCACCTTGAACTCTTTGGAAAGCGCTATCATCAAACTGAAGAACAACTTGCAGATACAAGACAGCAAGACTACGGACATGAGTGGACTGTTGGCCGTCGATCCGCCTTCTCCGCACGCGGATACCAAAATTAATCCAAGTAAGAATCCTAGTTCATCTTCAACGGCGAATATAAACTTATCTATTGCGTCAGCCGCGCTGTTACAAGAAAATATGCTTCAAAGATCACTACAAGGTGTAGTTATATCGCTACAGAATGCAATGATGAATTCTTTGCAACAAGCTGCACTCCTACCGTCAAATTCTGCAGCAGCCGCTGCTCTTAACTTACAAGCACTAGAATCTTATTTGACGCTACAAAGATTAACGTCCGTCTCAACTGTGAGTAATACTAGCCAAACGAATACGTCAGAAAGTAATTCATCTCCGAAGCAAGATATATTAAGGATAGCGACGGCAAGTGCAAAAATAAATGAAGTCGACTCGCCCGATAACGCATCTAGAGAATTTTCACCGAAAACCCCGGAGGAATATCCCATTAATGACGCAATAGCGGCTGAAGACGTGGATTTATCGGAAGAAGTCGAAGAAGATTTAGCGTTACTTGATAATGAAGACGAATTTACTTTAGAACAACATTTGGAATCCACGTCGAAAGGGTACGGCTACAGCTCACAAAATTTAGATAATGGATACCCAAGCCTTTTAATGAATGCCATGTATCAACAACAAATGAATGGTAGTCCATCGCAAGCACCATTGTCGCCTCAAGCTTCGAACTCTTCGAGTTCTAAGTCGACAAACAGCTCAACGTCTTCCACTGGAAGTAGTATACAAAATAAACAAAAGACGACTGCAAGTGGTCCACGGACGAAAAAGCAATTCATCTGCAAGTTTTGTAACCGACAGTTCACGAAATCGTATAACCTGCTAATACATGAAAGAACCCATACGGATGAGCGGCCATATTCTTGCGACATCTGTGGGAAAGCATTCCGACGGCAAGATCACCTTAGAGATCACAGGTAAATATTTCATTTTATAATAAGTTGTGTTTAGTTTTTCATATATATTTATTTTATTTTAGTATCGTTATTTAATAATATAAATTTTATTTCTATAAACTACATTATGTTTTAACCCATATCTTATATCTTAGAATAATTATTTTGAAGAAGACTCAAAAATAATATCCCAAGATTTTTTTGAACAGTTATATATTTATTTGTTTAAATTTAGATAAATTTGTCATTTATTACATTCTTATACAACTGTTGTGCAATATAACCTTTTTTATGCTTTGTATTGTATTATTAAGGTCCACAGGGCCACATGCACCAACATACCTTTTTGTTTTAACTTTTATGTTTTTTGAAGAAAGATTGAGATTTAAACGATTTTTTTATGTAGTATATTTTAAAACTTAGGTGAGCTTACTTAGGTAATGATTTGTTTTCACATAAAATGTTATCACTCCAATAATACAATACCATCTATAATTATTCATTTTCCTTCTTTAATCATAATCAATAATGTTCAATGTGTGACTCACAAAAATACCCTAAATATCCATTCTAAGAACGTCACACAACATAACCCGTCGTCTTATCTTCCACATTATCTTCACACCCGAGGAAATAGCTAAATCAATTGTCGTCATTAATACCATGTCCTCACCATGAACATCGGATCGAATGGCGCTGGTCTTTTTTTATAAGATAAAGTGTCAAAAACGTAGGAGGGCGAACCACAACACTTATTTTTCGAAATCAATAAAAGATATTAGTCCTTGGGTTTCAACGCGAATCGTTATGATCTTTTGAATAATGGCGGTACGCTTGAAATATTTAAAACAAAAAAGGGTTAAGTATGGACCGAGCAGATGCTATCGACACGTCGTTCGTCACGCTCGTAAATTATTTCACAAAACTGCCGCTAATCCGAGAAGGGCCGATGTTTTAATTTTGGCCTTCAGACTGATTTCTTTTTTCCTCTCTTGAATTCCTTATAAATCTTTGTGCAAGTTAACATCTCAAAATGCTTTTCGGTGATAAAATAAAACTCTAAATTGTATAGGTATTAAGTTCATTGATGAGTACCTGTTTTTAAATAGATAGACCTCCAAACGATTTTACGTATCTCGAAAACAATCAATATCTTAATGCGGTTACAATAAGTCATAATCTCTCTTAATCTATTTTCGACTTATCTGAGTGCCCCACCCAAAAACAGCTAAAGGTGTTGAATTTTTAACACCTGTCTCTCGGCAATTTCCTTCCAAAATCACCGTATCTCTTCGGCAATAAAATAAATTTCGTGTAGGCGCTCGAGGGTTAAACCCGGCCCGACCTGTCGATGTTCAATCGATGTTCGTTGACACCATACATTATAATGGACCGGAGCGAGCCTTCGACGGGATTTAACAAAGCACGTGGTGATCCTGACGCGAGGATTAATATAGACGACAAAAAATAAACCTTTGCATGTACAATCGGGTTTTCGACCAGCCTTCGAGATTTTTTTTGTCACGATCGAGATACGTGGATCATGTTTTCAAAAGATCAAATGAATTTGTTGCCAATCATTGTTTTTGACTTTAACATTATGCGCTCAAGAAAAGTTTAATAAGACAATTCGTTAAGTTATCGATTCGTATTACGCGCTCAATTTAAAGACGGAGTGGCCGCGTTGGTTCCAGTTAGGCCTACACTGCGCTCGCGTCGGTGACTTGTTGCGCTTGACTACGCGCGAGTCCGTATCTGTCCTAATCACCGTCATCATCTCATGTTTTAATATTCCAATCATTATTTCATTCATCATCTCATAACGCTTTATCGTCACCGATCTAACTGATCCAAACGATCATTATAGGTATTACATTACGTTGAACACGTCGTAATTTTAGATTTTGTTTGTTTATCCAATACACGAGTAATTTCTCGGCTTCGATATTCGAGTGCCGTATTTCTCGTTATGCGTTATTATTGATTACATGTTGTACGGTGTTAATTATATGTTGTAAGTCTAAATTCAATTTGAAAGTAGTTTTTGGAGTTCTTTATGATATTATAGGCGTGTACATGTACGTATTTCCAGCGTGTTTGAAATAAACAGTTATTGCCGATGTTGGATATTTGTTTACAGAACTTTCACATAATAATGATTTAGGACTAAATAAATAATATTAAAATTAGCAAATAGCACATAATTATAGCTATAGTTCAAATCCTAAAATCGTATCATGAGAAGTTACACAACTAAACGATAACCTTAACGGTTGTTAGGAAAGTAAATAAACTTACGCCATAAATTTTGTGGGGTCATTTCCAAAGATAGCTTTAACTAGTAAAAGCGAACCAACATTTGTTATGCCCACATGCTCTCGCTGGCGTAAATTAATGATTATAGCAATAAAAACAAGGTTGTACGCCAATTTATTGCCAATATCCCGCGGGGGCTTGTTTGCTTCCCGCCTGCTCCCATCCACAAGGTGTTCTCAACACGCTCCAATGTTTCGGTGCCTGGAGACATGACGTATTTATTGCACTCTCACAGCATCCTGCGCTAAATGGTGCACTCCTTTTTCGTAGTCGCCTCATAGTTTATTGTTTTAAATTTTATCTTGAGTGTACTTATTTTTCATATGGTTTCATTGGTGATCTTGGGGGCTGAAATAGCGGGATTGTACATTTAATTTATTGTTCGTAATACGTTATTTTTTTTTCAATTCTTAAATGAATAGATATCTTATGAAACAAAAAAATAACAAATATGAAAATCCTGATTTATCTTATTTGTCAATATGGGATTTATAAAACAGATCACAACCATGAAATATCATTGGTAGAGTTTTAATACAAATAAACGTTTTTTTTTAAATCCAACTATCCAAGTCACTCAGTGTTTTGTTTTGTCTTGATTTCTAATAAGATATACAGAGACAAAACGCTGAATAAAAAATACCAAACTTAACCCACACGCATGCAATAGGTACTGTAAAATTATTGTCTTGCAATTTACATCATAAATTATTTTGTTACAGGTATATTCATTCAAAGGAGAAACCTTTCAAGTGTCTCGAATGCGGGAAAGGCTTCTGCCAGTCGAGAACATTGGCGGTTCACAAAATTCTTCACATGGAGGAGTCACCACACAAGTGCCCCGTCTGCAGCAGAAGTTTCAACCAAAGGTCTAACTTGAAGACCCACCTGCTAACCCACACGGATATAAAACCATACAATTGTTCATCGTGTGGGAAAGTCTTCAGAAGAAACTGTGATTTAAGAAGACACAGTCTAACCCACAACCTTGTTGGCATGGCTTCCGTGAACACATCTCCTAGTGGTAGTAATGGGAAGAGTCCGTTACTAAACCCTAACTTTCCTATAGACAACATAGACACTGAAGATGAAAATTAAATTATTAGTGTCCTTTATGGTGTAGTGCAAGTTTTTTTAAAAGACTGATTAAATTATGCCTATGAAGTTGAAACCCTATTGTTATAAGAGAGATTTTAAGTGGAAGTGCTTTGGACCATTACAAAATGATTATGCACTGTCGAATATTGTTAGAAATTTCAAACTTGCGATTAAGTTTCGTTTGTTATGTAAAGCATATTATATTTTGAAGATTATATTTTATAATCTCAGTTTATTCCAATCTGATCGTGGCTATTTTATTATTATAGGTAATCTAATCTTGCTTTATTTTATCTCAACCTCTGTTTCCGTATATTCAAAAAATTACGCTGTCGTAGCATTTTGGTTCAATCACGAAATAATTAGAATAAGAATTGCAATAGTCTTATTGAAATCTTTGAATTTTACCTAGTATTATTTAGTATAAGTTTCTCTAAATCTTGTAAATTTTCTGATCTCATTTTTATTGTGTATGTAAATATAAATATGTCTAAGTCAAAGCTCTCCATCCGTCCGTATTGTTACTTAAAATGTATTATAGAAAAATATGTAACAATAAAATCATGAGATGTATATGAATTTATAGTGCCTAAGTAAAATTGTCTTCCTGTTTTGGATGCACAAAAATTATATAAAAACATTTTTGAGAGTTGTGCTGTTTGTTTAAATTTAATATAATTAAACTTATGACCTCAATACGATCGTTTTATTGAATAGTTTTAAGCGACTTATAATTTGTTTCATACTTTTTAACTTGCATTTCAATAGTATTTGATTAGTAACATAATACTTTAAAATCATTACTGAGTAATTTAGATTTTTCTGAAATGATTAAACCAACATTACAAATTTTATATACACCGTAAATTTAAAGTTACCTGATAAAATTTACTATCAAATTCAGACAAGGGATCGGTTAGGATTTTTTTTTCCATAATTGTCTCCACGATAATTGTGCAAATATGGAACATTCGCAATTTTAGGTGTCTTAAATTCATTCAAATTAAACTAGTTTTAGGATCTACGTTATACACATATATAGATATTTTATATACAAATGTGTGGAGTTTAAAGTATATTTTGTTAACGTTCTAAATCAATATTATTGTATGGGTGTTACTTTTTATAACTGTTCTCATTATTTTTATTTATACGATTTTCATGTTTCTCAGAATACCCAAAATTCACTGTGTATACTCTATATATATATATATTAACATTCGCACATAATTTTCACGGCACGGCATTTTATCGGTGAAGACCTGAATAGTAATATTCTCTCTGTTCTCCTTTTCTTGGTCTACCAACAATTATATAAATGCTCTTTTGGTGATTTTTGTAAGGCGTAACCCCGTTTACTTTATATTGCTACTAGTTTTGTTATGGTCCTTTAATGCCTTAAGCTAATTACCTCCATGTGACTGTTAAGCTAAGTGGCCGACCTTTGAGATAAGCTAGGATATATAGTGTTTTTTTTTATATCAGCCAGCCAATATTCTGTATAGTGTTAAATTTTCGTCAAATATATCTATCTACCTTGACATCTATTACCTGTTTCCAAAACCCATACCTTACATACCCAAAAATATCTTGCCTTAGACAACATAATATTTTTTTTATTAGAATTAAAGCATAATGTATATGTACGTATGAAGCAATTAAACTACGATACATCAACCCTTTATGGAGACCGGCTATTGAAAATATCTAAACACAACAAAGCTTTCTACGAGGTATATGAAATATTATAAGGAGAATTTATAAAAGAAAATAATTCTAATTATTATTCTTTTTTGTGTCTAATAAATGAAATACTAATAAAGCAATTTTAGATAAAAAAATAAAATTATTTCAACCTCAAAACAGTTATAATCGCTTCAGAAGAACTCAGACCTTTAACATAAAAATGTGGCTGAATAAATTAAGAATAAAAGGTAATTATTATAAAATCATATAAATAATAATGAATTGTAATTATTAAAAAAAATATAAGTCGATAAAATTCTTATTAATAATTGTGTTTCCTTTATGTCAGCGAGTTTTGGCCACTTCGTAGATTATGCTGATTCAAATATTTTTTCGCGACGCAAATAAATCCTTATTAGCTAGATTAGATTAGGTAATTAAGTAAGTACCTACTCGATAAAACCACTCGTGCATATCTATGGAATAAATTTGCAGGAAAATATTGGAATTACAAACGAAACTATGTTTCAAAAAAAGTACTGCATAGTGGATTTTCCGCTCGAATTAGAGCACCTGTCTGGGACAGCAACCTCCTCCTTACAGAAGACTACAGTACAATAACAGTACCCTTTGGTGGTTTTGTGTTTCTGCTGGTGAGTAGGGTTCCAGGGCTCCGGCGGGTAGGAAATTGGCTTCAGGCCGGCAAGTTAAAGATGGCTGGATCGCATCACTTTGACGACTTCCGTGGCCGAGTGGTTTGTACGCCGGGCTTCATGGTGTCGCCGACTCGAGAGGTCCCGGGTTCGAGTCCCGGTGGAAGCAGATGTTTATTTGATGAATACGAGCATTTGTACTTTAGTCATGGATGTTACCCTATAGCATCCCATAACACAAGCCTTACAGTGCTTACTTTGGGGCTAGGCTAATTGGTGTGAGTGTTGGAAATATTTATTTATTTATTATCATCTATATTCGCGACTGGATTCCACCTACACTTAGAATCAGGTGGTGTAGGGTAATTTGGTGCACCTCGTATAAAAAAAGAACACAACAATAATTATAGGTAAAGGTTTTCGTGCTATCTATAAAATATGCATTTATTTGTAGCTAGCAATCGACTACCGTTTACAATACGAGTAAATTACTACTTTCAGAAATTAATTCATTTTTCATTGATATATCTAACAGGTTTTTGTTAGGAACTGTTTCCTCAAAATACTGTGATATTCTTAAAATATATTAAATCTATCAGTAATTATAATATTGTTTAGAGACTAGGAATGAAGCACTTAAACAACACACTTTTTACTTTATCATGTACTAGCTGTTACCTGCGGTTTGGGATATTTTCCCACAATAAAACGTAGCCTATGTGTTAATCCAGGGTGTCAGCTAACTCCTTACCAAATTTTATTAAAATCGCTCCAGCCGTTTAGACGTGAAGAAGTAACAAACATACACACTCACACACTCCCAAACTTTCGCCTTTATAGTATTAGTGTAATAGTGTGATTTTCTACTTTGCGATTTAGTCGTTAGCTTAAAGTTCATGACATTATTAAGAGATGACGCTACTTGTATCTTTATACGTAAGCTCCTCATTTAAATGTTTAAAACGAGTTCATTATCTCGATCGATATCTTGAGTAATATAACCTGCAACTTATAAAAACGAATTCGAATATTGTATGTTGCCCGTTTACGTCGAAGTAGCCTTATAAATATTTTTATTTTATTATTGGCTTTGTATTATTGTTTGCGTTGAAAATGTGATACCCAAGGGCGTATACTTCTTACCTCTGCTGTGTTGCTTAGTGTACAATACACGTTTAGAACTTATCTTTTTTAGGGTTCCGCACCCAAAGAGTAAAAACAGGACCCTATTACTATGTCTACTTTATACTCCACTGTCCGTCTGTCTGTCACCAGGCTGTATCTCATGAACCTTAACAGCTAGACAGTTGAAATTTTCACAGACGATATATTTTTGTTTCCGCTATAACAACATATACTAAAAATAGAATAAAATAAATAATCAAGGGGGGCTTCCATACAACGACCTTGACCTTTTTGCTGTTTTTTGCTCTAAATTAATAACGGCAACAGGTTGATATTTGAAACAGTCGCAGAATATTTAGTTGTATATTTACTTTCAAAATTAATAATTAAATTAAATAAATATTTAACGGGGCCTCCTACACAATACACGTGATTAATTTTAGCGGTTTTTGCTCGAAATAATAATATAGTGTCTTATGTTGTAAAGATATAATTACGGAACCCTTCGTGCACGAGTCCGACTCGCAATTGGCAGGTTGTTATTAATTTACGTGTAACACCTATTTATTGTAAGAGTATTTCTTTCCAAGACAAAAATAATTTCAATTTTGCAGCAACCAAACCATTTCAACTTTCAACCATTTTTACCTTTATAATTATTATCCTCAAGCATCATATGTATTTATAATACTCAAAATTGTCTAAGATCTATAAACATTCAACAGGTGAGCATTAAAAAGTCTCGTCTGCTCAAAAAAACCTTGGCATTTGTTGCAAAAGATGGATAACGCTGTTCACTGACAAACGTAAAAGTGGTAATTATAAAGTTCATAGTAAAAGGCAAGACGAAACGGTGCTATTAGTAACAAAGGACGACTACCGAGCTTGAAAAATCGATTCAATTCAACACCAAATCGATGCAAGAGGACTCGAGTTATTCACACGAATAAAAAGAGCCCATTGTCGATTCAGTCTCACACAAAAGCTCTTAAGAGTGTATCAAAATGACATAAAGCTCGATTATTCTCGTAACACAAAACACTGTATAATGGGGCCACATGTCTTCGGATTTTTTTCTCAGATTTTTGGAAATGGATGACGTGTTAAAAAGGTAACAAATTGTTCCTCACCCCGGCTTTTGGTGTCCTGTTGCTGGACGCACAACCGCCATATTTTACGTCGATTCGCGGTCGAAATTCAAATTGAACGATGCGATTTGGTACGGTTTTCGCGCTCTTTTTCTTTTGTTTTTTTTTTCTGTTTCGTATGGCAATGTTTTGGATCATGTTATGGTGTGCAAAGGTTGTGCAGTGTAATCAACAAGTTCTTTGAAAGAAAAAGCCTTCTAAAGGAAATGTTTACTAGATATATTCAACTCATCCCAGATACTGACTACGATTGGATTTGACCCAACAACTTTAGTATACATACAGAAATAGTGCATTCAAGTTGTTTTTCTTTTAGTATCACTTTTCATAAGATGGTAAAATCTTAAAATTGAAAAAGCTGAATAAAAAAGAACTTTTTTCATACAATGTAAGATCCGGTTAGTATTATATAAAAAAGGTTGAGTTATTGGAATAAAAATACATTCCTTAATTGAGTAATTCCCAAAAAATATTTATTATAACTTCAAAAGTTTGCCATTAAGTTGTAAAAAATACTATGACACCGAAGGAATATCGGTGCTTACCACCTTGACAACTTAATAATAGAGTCTTAGAACTCATTCAATCGCCAAATCATTCGCAAATTATATAGCAATAACCCCATTGAAGACCCGCTGGGATAAACAAAATGCACAAAGGCATTGTCTAAAATGGACCCACAGCATTGCGACAACTTCTTACAGTTTTTTTATGATTTTGATAACGTGCTCATCGATATTAGATGAATTCTTTTATGTAAAACCTTGTAATAAATAGAACCAAGCCTATAGTTAATTGATAAGTTTGACTTCAATTACTTTATTCAAATAATACACGAATACTTTAAGCATTCATCTATAAGATAATTAATTCATGAACATTACCAATATTCGTATTAAATTTTGAAATAATAAGTAATGATAGTTAAAATATATGTTACAAAACAGTCAGTCATTTAGATACAACAATAACTTTGAATACTGGTTCCTACCAAATATACAATCCAATATTTAACAATCGGCAATCCATCGGGATACCAGGAAATCATTAAATAATCTTATGCTAAACCTATCAATGAAAATT